TGATAGTTTTTATTGACCTTTAATATTATTCATTCTGTTTTATTATACAATTATTGACTAGTGAGCCATTGAATGTGGTGTTATATTCACCGGCAGATGGAATATTGTCTGAGGCGACATTTTTATCTTAGGAATATCAAATTCAGCCACTGACCCACAGTGAATATGATTTTATAAATAGTTATGTTAACAATTGTTTGGACCAATGAGATTGCAGCGCTATATTTAGATCATCTAATAATAATGTCCATAATATACCATGATTTTATTATTTTATATATCAAAGTGATATATATACATTGATATTTTTAGAATATGTTTACATATATTACTGGGAAATTATCATGATTGTACATTTGGTGTTTGTACTGACTTTTGTTAAGATAAAATGTGTTTGTACATAAAACATTAATATTTTCGGGATATTTTGTGCAAATTTTCATTTCAATGCTTATTCGATAACGATAGAGATATACTTAAAAAATTCTTAAAATTGTAATCTTTTAACCATTTACAAAACAGTCACAGCGACACTCTGATGTGTTATATTTATTTTTACTTCATTCTATCAAAGCTCTTTTGTGAATTGTGTAAATAAATTGGCTTTTTGTAAAGCAATTCGTCATATATTTGTGAACAAGACAATGGTATACATTAGATGTGCTAAGACATCAAATGGTCCTATGCCTTATACACAGATTGACTTTAAATTATGAAAATGAATCTCAAAATTTGAGTTATCTTATTCTATAAGTATTTTGATACGTTCATATTCAAAAGAGAAAACCATTTCTGCAGATATTCAGCTACGTGTCTGATGTCATGGAAATTGTTAGTTTTCGTGTTTTTTGATAAATTGCTTGTTTTGACTTCAGATATTACAAAATGCATAGTCATTGTAAAACAGCATCTTTTCTTTCCATTCAGTTGTCTTTTTTTCTATATGAATACATTATCCATTGTGTTTGTCACTGTATACGACTTGCAAGCTTATACAGAGCGTGGCTGTAAATCATTAGCAAATCCTGTCTATAATATTAAATGACTGTGAACAGTGTCAAAGAATATGGGCAAAAAAAATTCTGTATTCTTATTGAAGAAAAAAACGTTAAACCGAAAAACGAGAAAGGACACTCGGAAACTTTATGTTTTCCGTTCGTTTGACTGAAAACGTGTACTACGTTACGGCAGTGATGATGTCTTAAGAATGTAAATCAAAATAGTTTAAAATTACTTGTTGATGACCTTTAACAGCATTATTTACATTTTGCTAGGTACTTTTGTGACACGTAACTTTACATTCAGCACTAATTCAGCACGAATTTCTTAATGTTAATAGCAGCTAATATGCTCTAAAACCATTATCGTAACGTTATAAAATCCATGCTTTCCCCTTTTATAGAATGAAATATTTATTCATTTCTGCCTTTGATGCAAATTTAATTGAGCCGCGTCACGACAAAACCAACATAATGGGCGCAGTCTGATCCGGATCCATGCTGTTCGCTATCAGTTTCTCTACTTGTAATAAAGTTTGTAAGCGAACAGCATGGATCCTGATCAGACTGCGCCCATTATGTTGGTTTTGTCGTGACGCGGCTCAATTCATGTTATACCGGTATACATTTTAGCCAATTGAAAACAAAGATATTGATATAGAAATAAAACAATATTACATTTTGTTATGCCAAGGAATGCCGTCACTAGACATGCGAGACAATTGCGAAAACATAAACTCATTTATATCTTTGATATTGATTCATTTTTGATTTGTCAGAATGTTTCGCCAAGCTGCGCTCCAGCTTCATTTGTATTCGTCAGACACTATTTCAAAATGTTATTACATATTCCTATCTGACAACATGACGGTGTAAATTCAATTCTTATTCTTGGCAGAGAACCTAACTGACACAAATGATGAGTTATTATTAATGCAATATGTTAAAAGTATTCCACTACAATGTGGGGAAGGGGTTTATACCATTTGATGTAGGTTGATACAAACAAATGACTTGTGTGCAAAATTAATTTCAGATCATTCGCGAACTTCATTTTTTCAGAATAACCATAGAAAAATTTCGCTTACAAACCCTATTACACATAGAGATACTGATAGCGAACAGCATAGATCCTGATCAGACTGCGCGGATGCGCAGGCTGGTCTGGATCCATGCTGGTCGCAAACCACGGTAGAGAATCACGTGACTTTTACGGTTACGCGTACAGACAATATGGCGGCCTAAAATCCTCGCTTCACATGTGTTTTCAGGTAATTCTTTATTATATCCCTTTTACTTACATACGAGACCTGTTGCAGCCTACGCAGAATAAAAAATTGTTGCCGCCTATACCTTATTTTCCAGAACAGAAATTTTCAATGTGGACAATTATTTTTCGGGTAACATTCACGCAAAATTTGTATTTTTTATGAATTTGATTAAAGTACGTCGCGTAAGCAAAGAGAAAATGTTCATAGAATTTCTTTATTTGAAAATGTAAATATTAGGCATGTTAAATGTTGACTGGTCATTTTCTATTCCATTACACGAGAGAAAAATGATTTGGGTAACTCCCACGCGTACTTTTTTTTTGATAACTCCCACGCAATATTTTATGTGCAAGCAATATCTATGCAGGTTATAGCCTAGATATTGATTGAAAAAAATCATGATTCATGCATTTAGCATCAAACTTTCATAGAATTTTGAATAATATAAAAAATACCGCCAATAGGTCCTTGATAGAATTAACCCAGCAGGCACATCAACGTTGAACAACGTAGAAGTATGGTCAGATTTCAACGTTGAAATAACGTTGGATTTATGTTCGAATTGGAAAGTTTAAGAAACGTTGAAGTTTCAATGTCATTTCAACATACTTTAATTCTAATATAAAGCAAAGTACTGTAACAGAGTTTAACAAATAAAATCAAGACACTATTAAATACTTCAGCTATTTTATTTCAAAAATACAGTTCAAGTGTAGCTTAAATTCAAGCGATTTAAAAGTCCTTTTAGTTTAACAATTAAGCTACAATCTGTTCCAATCTACCACTAGTACTTCTTCTAGAGCTCTCTGGGTATGTCTTAAGTGTTTTATGATGGTGTTTGAATACTTCTAATAAATAAAATAAGAAGTTACTAGTTAAAATTGATTTGGTCAATCTCAAATTATATATACAAATGTATATTAATCAACATAGTGATTTGTTTTATCTTAAAATGCTTATCTCAAAGATTTACATAATAAAAAAGCATAGAAATTAAGATACAGCTGAAGTTTCATATTGACAGTAAATTATGTACAAAAAACAACAAAAACTTTTTAAAAAGAAGCTATTTAAGTCTGACCTATGATTGGTAAGAAAAACTGCTCCCATCAGTTACGTCAGCATTTTCCCAAGAACAGTCCTTTCCATGTTAAATTTATGGTATAGAAGCTACAGCTGTAATACTCTAAATTTCAGCCAGGGCCAGGATCTAGAATATAAAATAGATTTATTATTCCCTATAAATTCACGGCAAATAAACTTAAATGTTATTTAACCTTAAACAGTTTAATCAATATTTGTTTTGATAATGCAATGGATATAATGTATTTTTCAAACTAATTCACACTTAATTTTACTATCACTAAGATATAAAATTAATACAGCTAAATGACGAATCGTCGTTGGGCGTAAATTATATGGGCCGAACAACACTTCATCTGCTTATAGGTTACAATAATATGATAAATAAATTTCAAAAAGGCATGGCTTGTAAAATCATAAATTGCCAAGGACATCAATAACTTCGCGTAAGGCCTACCAAACCCAAATCATTCAATTAGGTCGCGTTTTGATACAAAAGTCTAAAATATTAGAAGGTTTTTTATTTCCGTTTTTATTAGTATAAATACAGTTGTCATTTTTCATATTTTACAGATATGGAAGGTTCCATCTCGGATATTGTTTGTGATAAATGTGGGAAACATTTCATTCACGGATAGGTCTCAAATATTGACCACATGAACAGTCTACACGGCACAGGACCTTATAAATGTTGTGGTAAAACATTTTATAGCCCAGCAAATCGGAAACGTTACGGGTTTTACTGTTGATATTAAGATGACATTCAAACATAAGTCCTCTAGATTTTATTACCTAGTTTGTAAAATAAAAGACCCATTCTAATAGTCTTAAGGTTGTTTTCTTTTATGCTTTAGATTTAAAAAAACCACAACATAATAATGTTAAATTTGAAAAAAGTTGGTTACATAAAAGACTAAGTGATAAAATGATTTGAATGTCTTTAAAATCTGAATATTACGAATAACAGTAAAATGCCATACCTGTCACGTTTCGATTTGCCACAACATTTACAAGGTCCTGTGCCGATTAGCCAGTTTATGTGGTCATTAAGGCAAATGTTTTCCAACATTGTGTAGATAAGGTTAAATTAAGCCAAGTTATCTTTTTAGAATGTTTACGGTAATAATTTCCCTTTAAGGCCAAACCAAATCTATTGTGGTGTTATGTGTTCATGTTTGTCTTGGTTCCTTTTGTATGGGTGATTAAACTGGTTTTGCAAGTTGAGTGATGGATGATTGGTTTTGGTATGCAAGTTATTTTTAGAGGATTTGGTTCGAGGATAGCTAATATTTTCTTTGGTAACTGACCACTCCTTTCATTGCATTCAAGGCAATAACATCTCTGACATTATAAAGATATATTATTTCTTTATAGAAATATTGATAGATTTATTATTATTCATACAATTATTATTTTGAAGATCTCATCTATTTAAAGCCTGGTATGTATATATTTATTTTAATTGTAATTGTGAAATGTTTATAATGTATATATTGTAATTATTGCAATTGTGAAATATGCAATTCATGAATTTTCTATTGTATAATATTTCTCTTTGCTATTTGTATTATAATCATTTTATTTTGTTATAGGTTTCTTCTACACCTGAATAAATATATAAACATTATCAAAGTGTTTATTATTGAAGAAACCCCCCACTACAAATTGGCTCCCCGACAAAGGACAGGAAGAAGAACCAGGCGAGCTGTTCTCTGGTTGGAGGCCACCGGGAATCCAGCGGCAAAGACCAGGACGATCCCAGAAAACCTCACCGCGGCAACTAAGAGCAGCAGTAGAGGAGATCTACCATTTACCTGACTTATATATGATTTCAAAATCATAGGCAGACAAAGCAGCAATCCAACGATGACCTGTCGCGTCCAACTTAGCAGAGGACAGGACATAAGTTAAAGGATTGTTGTCAGTAGAAACAAGAAATTGGTTGCCATAAAGATAGTCGTGAAACTTATCACAGACAGCCCATTTCAAAGCTAAAAATTCAAGTTTATGAGCAGGGTAATTACGTTCACTACGTCTTAAACCTCTGCTGGCATAAGCTATGACATGCTCTGAGCCATCCTGCTCTTGAAGTAACACGGCCCCTAATCCAGACCCACTCGCGTCGATATGGACTTTAAAGGGTTTACTGAAGTCAGCAAAAAGCAAGAATAGGAGGAGAAGTAAGTTTTTCCTTAAGAGTATCAAAAGAAGATTGCTGGGCATCACCCCATACCCATGTAGCAGTCTTTCTAGAACGTTTGGACTTAGATTTGGGAGAATTACCATGACCCTCAAGTAAGTCATTAAGGGATTTGGCCAACTTTGAATAATCCTTAATAAATCTCCTATAAAAACCTGCAGTTCCAAGAAATGTCCTTAATTCTGCAATGTTCTTAGGGACTGGCCAAGAAGAAATAGCAGAAGTTTTCTCAGGATCAGTAGAAATACCATTCTCAGAGATAACATGCCCTAGATAAGAAACGGACGTTTTGAAAAATTCACACTTAGAGCCTTTAAGTTTAAGACCATGAGAAGATAAACGTTGAAAAACATTTTCAAGCCTAACAATATGCTCCTCAAAAGTTTCAGAAAAGACCAAAATGTCATCAACAAAAACAAGACATTCACGCAAAAGAAGGTCACCCATGGCACGTTCCATAACTCTTTGAAAAGTAGCACCTGAATTAACTAATCCAAAGGCAAGCCTATTGAATTCATAAAAATCCAAGGTTACCAACAGAAAAAAGCAGTATAGGGCTTTGAATCTTCCTCCATCTCAACTTGCCAGTAACCACTGCGTAAGTCAAGTTTAGAGAAAAATTTAGATCCCACTAAAAGGTCTACAGTGTCGTCAAAACGAGGAAGCATATAGGCATCTTTTCTTGTTCTTGAGTTAAGCAATCTAAAATCAATACAGAACCTAAGTGAACCATCCTTTTTCCGAACAAGAACAACATTAGAAGAGAAAGGAGAGTCACTAGGCCTGATGGCACCGCAATCAAGCATATCCTTAAGGTGCTGCCTCACCTCTTCATACATTCCAGGGGGAATTTTTCCTGTAAGGCTGCTTTGAAAGGGGCGTCATTCATTTAAAACAATACTATGGCGTGTGAGATCAGTACAACCAATATCAGTTGATCCCTTGGAAAATACATGATTCCAATTGCCTAAAACTTGGCGAACACGCAGAAGTTGCTGAGGGGACAGATTCTCAGTATCAATATTCAAACCAAGAGAAGATAAATCTGGCTGTGAAGAAGTAGGGTTCACACCATTAGAAACAGAATGAGAAGAAGCAAGGTTGTCTAGCACTGTAACTTCATTAACCACACAAATGTTAGATTTCGGCTTAATAGTCAATGTCCTCGCAGTCAGATTACAGATGCGTACAGGCACCTTTGCATAACCGCTTTCATTGGACACTGAAACTATTTGTGGCCGAACAATATATAAAACATCTGCATCAGGGTTTTCAGTCACAAGCTTAGTATCACTAGAGATACCTCTAACAAGACCATTAACAGAAATAGACTCATACGGTGCAACTGTGATAGGATGGTCATTGGTAGATTTGACTGTGTGAGGCTTACAAACTAAACTGTCAAATGCTGATTGCCAAACTTGAGACAAATTTGAATCGGTAGATGAAAGTTTACAGAGCCTGATAACATTGGTACCCAATATCACAGGACAAGATATGTTTTTATGTGTATCAGGGACAACTAATACAGGCACAGGCAACTGAAGGTTTAATTCCGGTTATAGCAATCGGAACTTCAATGTACCCTAAAATATCTAAAGATTGCCCATTTGCAACTGAAATGTCTAAGTTGATATTGAAATCTGTCAAATTCAACAGTGGCGGTCTATTTGACAATGACAAATAAAATGAGTTTGATACTGTTTGAAACCATTGAGCCAGTATCAACTAGAGCTATGGCTGAAATACCATTAAATAAAATATTGGCCCTTATTGGAACATCCAATAATTCTACTAGCAAGTGATTGCTTCTCAATAACCGCCTCTGATTGGCCAACAACAGAGGCGGACCCTAGTTTGGGTAAACCGCAGAAGATCCCTGTTGCGCAGCAACATGGCCCTGCTGATTCATACCCTTACCACGGCCACGCCAACTGCGATTGGTATTGTAAGATGTGTTACGGGGACTGGTGTGTTATAAGGTGCTGTTTGAGGTGGTGTCTGATATTTGTATGTCTGTACTGGGGGTGGTGGTGTGTTCCATTGAGACAAAGGAGTAGGTTTGTGTAGGTAATGAGAGATTATCAAGTTTCTGTAAAATGGCATTAAATCTCCTATCAACACCAGACTGTAAGCCACGCATTTGTTCAGTGAAACGGTGCTCCATGTCCTTCATAGATTTTTCTACATAGGAAATAGAAGCCATTTCACCAGACACCTGCGAAATTTACAGAAATTTTAGACTTGGGCTGGACAGACGGAATAGTATCTTTCTCAATCCTACGGATTTCCATTAAAAAGTCATCATAGTCAGAAGCAGAGTCAAGCTTATGTCTACTGCTTGCTCTTAAAGAATCTGACCTTAAACCTGACCATAACTTTTCACATAATAATTCATTCCTAGCAGGACTTTGGTACAGAACCACCCTCAAAAGCTCTCTGCAAAAGTGCACTCTAAACGACACCCATAAGCTGCTACCGATTCATCAACGCCCTGAGATGCATTGAAGAATTCCTTCATAGTAACACCTTGCCTTGATGGTTCAGCATAATTCACAGACAACTTATGTAAAATATCATCTATGGACACAGATTCACCTAACGAAACTACCAAACGTCTAGCTGTGCCCCTTAAAGAAGATCTCACAGCTTGACGAACTTGGGAGTCAAGTAAAGATGTATCTTTCCTAAGACACTGTACCTCATGGTGCCACTCATAATAAGAAATTTCACCTTTAGGGTAGGGTCATCTCCAGAAAAAAGGTGGAATCTTAGGAGTACGGGATAAAATTGGGGGAAGGTGAAGATGGGGGAGCAGAAGGGAGAAAAACTGAAGGAAGTTGGCTTATATACCTCTACCATAACCATGAGAGGGTGTCTTAGCTGGTGTTCCATCCTTAACAGAGATATGGTACTTATTGAAGACAAAAAATTAATCATCTCTTCCTTCAGAAAAAGAATATTTCTTCTCACCTTCCGAATCCTCCATCTTTAAAAAAAATTGCAAAAAAAATAAGAGGGGAAAAAATAGACCCTGGATTGAGTAGACAGATGAAAACAAAGTCAATAAATAAAATAAATAGAAAAATAAAAAAATAAGTGTACAAAGAATAAGACACTGAAGCGGAAATCTGGGGTAAATAGACCAGGGAAATACACCTAACTTATGGTGAAAAACCAATAAGTTTATTTTAAATGAAACTCAATAATCAAATTTATTGATGTATTCACAAACAATATTAAAAGCAAGTACAAATGCTTCTATTTACCTGATAAACAGAATTGTTTTTAATTCAATACACCATTTAAAAAAATAATAAAGATAACTCTGTATTTTTACCAAGTACTAACTGAACCAATATTAGTACCTTCAATTCACAAATTCCTGGTTTGAACCAGTACTGTTCAACAAAAATGATACCAAATAATTCGGTTCAGTACTGAGTTGTCAGTACACCAAGTGTTACTAGGACATTACAAGTTCCTGGGGATAACCAGTACTAAAATATTTCAATATTCAAACAGAATAATAATCAAACATATATAATACACCAGTTATATTTGGGCAGATATCTCTCAAATAATTCCTGGTAAATACCAGTACTTATATATTAAATATTTCCTGGTTGTAACCAGTACTTACCTTTCAATTTATAAAAAAATGTAGAATAATTATTACACTGTAATTCCTGGATGTAACCAGTACTTGAATGACCTAAAAGTAAAATACTTTAAAAAAAATGGGCAGTTCAAATTAAAATGTCTGGGAAAAAATAAGGAATTTATTTAGCCAAAACAAAAAAAATGTCAACAATTAATACCCTTAATCAATTACCAATTACCAGATGACTTGATACTGCTATGCCGTCCAACCAAATGACTTACCAACCAAACAAACGCCAAAAACAAAATAAACCGAATAAATCACACGACCGCACTCACTTTCAAACAAAAAAAAATACTTAAACGCGAATTGGTTCTGGGTGTTAATTTGTTAGTTATGTAGAAAAGTACAGAAAGAAAGATCAGAAATAGAGCATAATATATATTCAATACACAAGGTAAACAAACACAGTAATCAAGATCCTTAAATTTTTTCTAAATATCTTTTTTTAAAGTAAATAAATAATTGAAAGACCCTTAAGATTTCTTAAATATCTATTTAAATATATCTAAACTATTAATTTTATTGTATCAACCCAGATAACTAAAAAAATAAATCAATGTATATCAATAAGACAAATAATATTTACATGTATTTACATACACAAAAATAAAATATACACAAAGATATTTACAAACACATAACAAATAAACAGCAGCAGTATTTTCAAAAAGATTTATCAAAATATAAACGAAATGGAAGTGAGTTTCTTGTATTTAATATAAAATATCCAAAATTTATGGCTTATCCGAAAATACCTAAAGAAAAATAAGAAAGATCGCGAAATTGTGTGACAAAATTACATTATCGTTGTTTACATAAAATAAATCAAATGACAAGTCCTATTTAATGAGAGAATCAAAAATTTACCTTAAAAGAAACTGAATTAAACCAAAAATCTACTTAATATATGTATAAAT